ACTTTATTGTACTTGACTAAGAAGATTGCCATCTTTTTGTTATTTTATAGTTGTTATTTTGTGATTGTAAATTTCTGATTGTACGCGGATGATTGATTACCTTCGATGGCTCAAGTAGCAATAAAATTATTGAATTAAATTGTACAAGTGAATTGAAAATAGTGTATAACAACTCTAGTTCTTATATTACATGTGTTATTAATTTTATTTTATTATTATTACAGAATGAAGCATATAGGTTAGCATCTAAGACGTACCGATATTTGATGGACCAGGTAATGTATTCTAGGTATATGTATTATAATAGTTTTGAACCAAAGTCATATTTTCTGATACGTTATTGCCTTGTAAAATTAGGCAACGTAACCAGCTGATATTGTGATAATCTCTAATTGAAAGTGACAAACAAGGAAACTGCTGCTAACTGTCACTAAAAAATCTTAACAAACAAAATATATTACAAGAAAGAAGACCATGAGACAGAAATAAATGTTGTATACTGTATACATAGAATAAATTATGTGATAATCTTCTGTTGACAAAAACAGACGTTTGGGGTTTAAATTGTAAGGTCGGAGTTTCGAGTCTCCGCTGTGCCTGTCTCTTATACACATCTTATATATATATATAGGTATATACTCGCGTATAATTCGACCCCCAGAGTTTAAGAAGACTTTTGAACGATATTTGTATGTCGGGTGTATAAGAAGACCCCCTGCTTCATCGTCAGAATTACTTTATTCTGCTTTTTATGGTCTTGATACTGCATCTAACTGGCTAACAGAGCCAATGCAAGGCTAACCTTCCCAAATAATACCACTTTATGGAGTTTTTAAACGTTTTATCTGAGCCCCCACCCCCTTAACAAAGTCAAAATAAAAGGGGAAAAAAAGGAGAAAGATAGAAAAAAAAATATAACTGATCGCGCAAAACAACTGAGTTTATTTTCGGGTGTCTAGAAAACAAAAATTTCGCGGGGGCATGCCCTGGACCCTTTTGGGGCTAGTGTTATCTGAATCAGCCCTACTTTTGGCCCTCCTTTCGCCCCCCAGCCCCACACTTTTTTGGACATTTCTGTATCCGCCCCTGATCATTCCTATAATGTGCATAAACCTCAAGCACTTCCTTAATGTTGTACGGGTTTCTGGTATAATGAGTTTATTGTCGTGACCTCTGGTGCGGATAGTGTATGGATTGAGCTGATCACGAGGGATGCAGATAAGGTCATTGGCGATCCGGTACATCGTGGTGACTTTTGTAATCGCCCTACGATGTTGCAGGGAGTCCCAGCCGAGCTGCGTAGTGAGCATGTTTGTGACGCTTTATGGAGTGCGCTATCGCTCAGTATTCGGTTCTTGAACTGCAGTTCAATTAAAAAAAGCGAGTTCTGTGTCCTCTGATTGTCAAAATATGCATGGAGGGCGCCAACCTCACAGCGGTTTGGCGCCCTCCGTGCATATTTTGATCAATCATAGGCCAGAGAACTCACTGCAGTAAATTTCTAATTGAACTGCAGTTGAAGAACCGAATACTGAGCGATAGCGCGCTCCATACCATGTGACCTATATAGCGTACTACATAAAGAGAAAGCGCCACGAAGTGAGTGTTTGTGCTGTAATGTACAAAGTTGATGCCAGTCAACTATTAAAAACTTGATTGGAAATTGAACTGGAGAATATTGCAATATTGCTTTGCCAAATAATGTTACAAAAGGTATTAGTCCCAAACGTAGATTTTTCCTAGAATTTTAGGCCTAGGTCTATACGCTTTATATATTGTATCTGCCTCTTACATAAGCTAATGCTACTTAATTACGGTATACTACGGTATAGTGTTAGCAGCGCATAGCATAACTGTGCTTAGATATTGTGTGGAACTTACTTAAAAGTAGCCCTTACAGTGTCAATTCTTGTAGACTTACAATGTGTCTTTCGATCACAATTCTTTATATACTAGAACAGACATCAACTAAAAGGGTTTTCTGAAATTTAACATGTAAACTTCGCTACACTACACTAGTGTAGCGAAGTCTGTATATGTATGTATATATATGGTGTGTATGTTTGTGTATATATATGTATATATATATATGTGTGTATGTGTGTATATTTATGGGTGTAGGTGTGTGTGTGTGTGTGTATGCATGTGTATGTATACCCATGTACATATACCGGTAGGCATTTTTTTTTTATAAACTTGTATTCTTTTAATGATTTGCTATGTTGTGACATCAATATTTCTCTTATTGGACTGTGTTTACCTAGGTGTGTGTGTGTGTGTGTGTGTGTGTGTGTGTGTGTGTGTGTGAAAGTTTAGGCCTATAGTACTGTACAGAAAAGTAAGTCTGTATTGCTGTAACTGCTTTGTATTTATATACTTTAAGTATTTTAATTTAAGTTTAATTGTTAAGTTATGATAAGAAAGGGCTTTCAAACTTTGTGCTTGTGCTTTTTGTATTTTTTTTTAATGTAACTTCTTTTTTGTAATTTTGTTGGTCTTGATATGTCAACTGACGAGTGGAGTGCCACTGTAACAAAAGTGTAAGTTCAATAAATTATTATTATTATTACTAACCACAGCACAAATGAGTGGTTAATAATAGGTCCGCATAGGTCGAACCACCAATCAAAATGATGTCCATAGCTGAAGCCTGTATTTGCATACATCACCCTATATAAGAGTTTAAAATCGGCATGTATTTAGGTTTAGATGATAGCAGAGTCTTCGTGGGTGAGTGAACATGGAGGAATATGAGAAGGCGAAACTATATCGAGTACATAGATATACTGTAGTTGTTAAAAACAGCTAATTTTCAATAATGTTGCAGTACCTCCCTGTACATTTTTAGGTTAATTTTATCATGTATATTTTAGTGTGTTTGTTTTTGGATGATGACCACACACACACACGTATACCTGTCTCTTATACACATCTAGATGTGTATAAGAGACAGGGTCTAGGCAGATTATTTTTAATATTATCGTTATTCAAAAATTAATTTTATCACATTTACGCACTGATACTGTCGCAAATTGAAAAATATACCCCTATTCAAATTGCTTTTTAAACATGAAGGGATAAAGACACCAAGCTGATATTTCGAACATCTGATCATCATATATAAATTAATTAATGATGCAAGTTTTAACAACAAGCGTACTTGCCCACAGGGTCAAAGGTCACCATGAAAATGAGGCATTTTTGTGCATTTTTTGTCCCGAATGACCGTTTGACCTACGATTACCCCCTAAAATGACAAGTTAGTAATCCGGAATTTTTGATGGAGAAACATTTCCAACTATATATTAAGAATTTGGTGTATAAGACCCATTTAATAACTGATTTGGGTATTTTAATGGGGTCTAAAAATGGAAGAAAAATTACGCAACCAAATAAGTTAGGGTCTTTACGAACCAATATTTTCGAAACGGGGTCCGGTATACCAAAAGTCATGTTATATTCC